CCGCACAGTTTCAATGCTCCAATTTTTTCCTGTTTTCAGTCAGTCGTTCTCCTAACTTTACCGATTTCTTTTTTAGAGTTTCAAGTGAACTGGAAAGAGCAAGGTGGTTCAGTTCTCTTGAAGAGGTAAGGCAAGCCTTTGTCAGGTATATCAAACTCAATTGAATTTTTAGCAGTTATCATAAAACTTCCTATGTTCCGACCCGTTCTCTAAAAAGGGAAACCCACAGACGCTAGATATGAGTGCATTACGCGGGCCGGGGGATTGGTACTGGTTACCGGTTACTAGCTTTGTTCCTCCTTCACTTATGGGTGTAAAGGATGTTCGTTTGTGGTGCGTCTTGGAAAGGTACCTGAGGGGAAGGGTGGGGGAAAAGGTCGTTGTAAAATGTAATGCACTGCACCTCACACCCCAACCCGAGATTTAAAATCAAGTAGCAAAGCTTCAGAAATTCAATATTTAAACGAGGGAGTAGGGAAAAGCGAGCTGAAAACGAAGTTGGGAAAACAGTCCGCAACTTTCTCCAATCTTTCCGCCTCTTCTTTCGTATTATTCCTACTCCTGCAATTGCACCGTAGTTTGTGGTTGAGTGTACATCCAAAAAAAGGAAAATGTTTCTCAATTTACGAGTTGCTTTACATTCAAACCCTGTCACACTCTGTTCACGGGTTATTCACTGCTAGCTAGCTTTCCGCTCTTGAAAAAGGAACATTTGATCACAGGTGCTCCAAAAAGTGAAAAAAAACTTTCTTAACTGACGTAATTTGTTGTAGGACAGTGAAAAGCGGCGCCAGAAAAGAGAAAAAGAGCTTGCCGACGATGAACTAAAGATGGCCAACGAACAATTCATAAAAGTATGTTTCTACATTGTTGTGTGAACTGCAAGAAAAAAAATTCCTTTCTCGCTCACATGCTGTCGCCAACTTAATGATTTCTTGCTTTTTCGTTTTCCGAAAAGTATGCCACTGAAACATATAGTGTGTGTTTCACGGTACGTATGGTCCTTTTTAAACCAGTTAACCCCTTAGAATGGTTAGTTAAATAATCACCAACTTAAAAAAACCTTAGTTCTCAGACAAATTATCCTATATAGTACCACAGAAAACTCCCAGAGCACGGAATGGACAACATGCATACCTATATTCAAATAGTAAAGCTGCTTCTGGCGAATGAGCTCCAGCCCTCTGCAGTGGTTATTTTAAACTTCTCGTCTCGTTTACTTATTTTTCGCTGATTCAGTCATTTCGCTTCTTTGTTTGAATGTTTGATGTATCTCTTCTCTTCCACAGATTCGCCGTGCTCGACTTAAAAAGTTGTTAACAGAGGAAAATATCCAATACGAGAAAGAGCTCAATAGTTTCGGAAAAGCGTTCTACAAGAAAAGAATTTAAGCCTACATTAGCGTTGTTAAAAAGATTCCGCGCACCTTTGGCTTATAAGTTAGATCTATCATCAATCGTCTTATTACTACATGTTATTATATCATCAGATAGCTTCAAAGTAAATAACCGAGATTTTTTTCTCAAACCCGTAAGACGAAAACGAACGAGAGTATTATGGTTTATTGAGAATCTTAACGATCAAATCCAGAGGTCAACATATCTCCGAAGGGCTTCCTTGCGAAAAGACTATTAACCGACTGTTCCTCCCCCATCAAAGAGCGACATCTCCTCAATATGCAACAAGAAGCGGACGAAAGGTTATTTCTCTGGCGTGAAGTGTGACCCAGCCCCTTCTCGTCATTCCACACTATGTGTTTGCCCATCCCCCTCCTCCCTTGCGTTATTAGGACCGTGCGGAAAAAAATAATACCGTTGGTAATCGATTGAGAATGGCTTCTTTACCTGACTTTCGCTGCAGGTTGTGTTGCATGATTGACAGCCAGGTTTCCTTCTGCTGCTGATTAGACGGATCAATATCAGTATCTGGGCAACTGCCCACCTACCCCTCCCCTAACCCAACATTAACCTTAAGTTGTTGTCAATTGACTGTTGTTGAGTTAGGGGAGGGGCAGGTGGGCAGTTGCCCAGATACTGATATTGATCCGATTAGACAAAGTCCCCATGAATAGTGGATTGTCGAGTGTCAAATGCATTGGGCAGGGGAGGGGAGGGAAGGAGGGTAGTACTACTGATGCTTGAGCAGACCACTCTGCACCACAGATGCATTGAGATGCAGCAGAGGAGATAGCAAG